AAAAGGAAATAAAGGAGAAGAATGGGGTACAGATGAGAGTAGGAAGAGGGAAGAACAATTTAAAGAAAGGTGCTAGAGAAGACATCAAGATGCTAATTTGGAAAAAAAGCCTCAAAAAGGAAAAAGTACTGACAGATGGGTATCTAGAGGAAGAGGATTCCGGGCAGAGAGAACAGGAGGTCAAAGATCCAAAGAGGAAAATCTAGAAGGGCTGAAAACAAAATACTAAGAATACGCTGGGGGAGCCTGGCGTGAATTTAGGACCAAGGTCAGAGAAACAGCGGACTTAGGATATTGTAGAGCTTCGCAAATCATTATTGGCATTTAGTCTCTTCTAAATAGAGCCTATGAGGGAATCATGGTGGAGTTTTGAAAGAATCGGGTCATCTAAAGGACTCCTCTGGCTGCTGAGGAGAAAGGAGGGTGGAGGTGGAAGAAATGGTAGCCCAGACACGAGCCAGGAGGTTCTAGGAGTGACCTGGACTAATAGAGCGACAGCGGAAGTGAAACAGAGAGCCCATCTGTGGGAAGTCCTCATCCTCCCATGGTTCCAGGGACCCACCAACCACATGTTCGCTCCGAGATCTTCTCTTTCCAGTCTAAATCTCTCTCTTGAACTAACCACCTGTGCCCGATGGCATGCTGGTCACCCTATTTCAGGCTCCCATGTAGTAGCTGATCTTAACTTGATGGGATTGAATATCACCATGGAAACAAACCTCTGGACACGTCTGTGAGGGAGTTTTTAGGTTGGACTAATTCAAGTAGAAAGACACACCCTAAATGAAGGTGGTACCATTCCATGGTCAAGGATCGCCAACTGGATAAAAACAACAACCAAAAAAAACCGCCAAACCAAAAATCAAAAATTCTGGGAAAACAAGCTGCATCCCAGCATTCATCTCTCTGCTCGCTGACTGTGGACCCAATATAATCAGATGCCTTCATTCAGCCTTGCTTTCCCCACCATGACAGACTGTGCCCTCAAACTATGAGCCCAGACCAGCTGTTTCAGCGGGTACTTTCTCACAGAAACAATAGAAGTAGCTAAGACATTAAAACAGCACCTCAGCCCCTACCAGCTCTCCTCTGAAACCCCTTTTCGCCTGCTCCTTTCAGTGGCTGCTAAAAGCCTGCAGCCGCATCTCATTAAGGCTGTCGACACACGTGCTAATGGGCAATCCACGCTGGCCCATAAACACCACGCTAAGACACGTCATTATGATTTAGTTTATTAGACTTTCGGCTTGTAATGGTGGCTTGAATGATAGAGCATAAGGTAGGGACGTTTTAATTAGGGTAGGACGGTGACATACAGCCGTAGTTCAGGGCAAGGTGCCTCTTTGGTGGGGCATTAAAATCCCGAACATTAGAGAATTCTTTTTCTGTCACAGCTTTCTCCAAGAGAGCACTGCCACTGAGACGAGAATTTTCAAATGACCACTGTAGTTACAGATGCTAAACGTATCGTGTATGTAGTATGTACAAATTAAGACTCAGTATGTATTGCAGGGTTTTCCTATGTAAATTCAATTTTCTTTCATCTTAGGAATTCTGTTTAATTTTTATTTTTTAGAGACAAAGTCATCTATAGCTCCGACTGGCCTGTGCCTCATGACGCAGACCAGGCTGGGCTCAGAATTGCCGAGTTCTTTCTGCTCCAGCCATCCAAGGGCTGGCCTGACAGCGTAAGCAAAGTGCTCACACTGAGGAACTTTTCCCACTCCCAATTGTAATTTTAGCATTTCTAAATATATATTTAAATATATATTTAAAGAGTAGGGTTTTTTGTTTATTTGTTTTTATTTTATTTTACTTTATTTTTGAGACAGGGTCATATACATAGTCCAGACTGTTTTTGAGTTCGCTATATAGCAGAAGATGACCTTAAACCTCAGATCCTGTGCCATGGGACCACAGGTTGTATCACCATGCCTGGTTTATGTGCTGGGCATTAAACCCAGGGTTTCATACATGTAAGGCGTGAACTCTACCAACCAAGCAGTGTCCCTGCCCTTCACTCATTCTTTTAACTTGTATCAAAGGAGCTATTTTTGCTCTGGAAAATGACTAGATTGTTATTTCTTCTTCGAAGATCCTGGTTCTCCCACCCCCATAGTTTGTAAGTAACAGGGAATAAGAAATACCTTAATCTTCAATATCTAAATCCTGCATTTAAAAAAGTAATAGATACAAGGGACATGTGTTTTCCTAGATTATATTTTTAGTGCATTGTGCTTACATGTGGGAAAGTCTTGTAAAAATCATTAATACGAAACTAACTAGGCCAATGAGAGCTATTAATTTTTATTAGAAAATTACCTTCAAAATAAATATTTAGATGTAAGCTTAACGTAGTTAAAAATGCAATTAAGTCTGGTTCCTTGAAACTTGAAAGCTCTTTATATATTTACCATTTATTTGCCAAGTATTTCTCAAAGCCTTCCTTTATAGCAGGCTGCAAGCTGATGCTGGGGATGGAGTATAAATAAAGACGAGAAGCTTCCACGAGAAGCAGCCTATCTTTGCAGCAGGCTGGCAATCAATACTTGAACAATAATCCCTGCTAGTAATAAGTGCTAAAAAGAAAATTAACTGAGTGGGGAGAGGTGGAGAGCGACAGAGCCAGACAGATTTATGGGGCAGTCTGGAGAAGAAGCTCTCTCAGGTGACTGTGGTGACAGCCCCGAGAACTGGGAAATACATTAGAGGGACACAGGCACAGAAGGAACAAAAAAGAAACTGAGGTAGCTACAGGCAAGTCAGAGAAAGTGAGACCTAGAAGGCTGGAGAGAGAGCAGGGGCCAGCTCAGGTGGGATTTTGTAGCCCTTTCTTGGGTGTGAGTTTTGGGTTTGGTCTGAGTGTGATAAAGGGAAAGGAAGGATTTACGCATAGGAATGGCGGCACCTGATGCCAACTTTAGTGTTTTGTTTGAAACATGCTTTTTAAATGTAACCCGGACTGGCTTTGACTCCCTGACTCTCTTTGTCTGCACTTCCTGAGTGCTGGAATTATAGGTATGCATGACAATGCCTGACTTCTTTGGCTTTTTTTGTTTCTCAGCTGTTTGAAAAAAAAACATATAAAACTTAGCATTTTAACTATTTTTTAGGTGCGTGCACATGTGCACCTGCCTGGAAGAGAACAATGGGCAGGAAACTTTTCTCTCTTGACAGCATATGGGTCCCAGGGATCAAACTCTGGCTTAGTGAAAGCGCCTTTACCTCCTGAGACATCTTGCCAACCTCCCCGTTTGAATGTTCAGTTGGTAATACTTATTCTGTTCATATTAGTTCATATTCATCATTTTTTATCTGCAGAACGTTTCTCATATTCCCAGATTGCAACTCCATCCCTATTTACCACTCTCACCTTTTCCCCACTGCCGGCAGTCACTATGGTGCTCCCTGTTCCCATGGAAATGCATAGTCTGGGTATCTCATATGAGGAGAAGAATACAATACCCTTTGGTTATTTCACTTAACCTCCTGTTCCTGTCTTCAAGCTTTATTTATGTATGTTGTAGCATGTCCTGGAATTTCTTTCTTTTTCTTTTCTCTTTTGGTTTGAGATAGGATCTCATATAGCCCAAACTGGCTTCAGATTCAGTACCTGGCCAAAGATGATCTTGAACATCTGAATCTTTAGCCTCTACTTTCCAAGTACTGGGATACAGGCATATACCACCATGCAACTGTGAACAGACATTCAAATCATCATACAAATATCTAGCTTGTCATGAAGTTTGCCCCATGTTAGCCACTTTCCTGCCACAGTCACAAAAGTGACATCTGAGACAATTAAAAAGGGTATGTTAGTTGCCATTCTGTTGCTGTGGTAAGACACCACAAGCAAGGCAACTTAGAGGAGAGTTTATTTGGGCTTATGGTTCCAGAGGATTTGAGTCGATAATGGCAGAGTACAGACATGGCAGCTAGACCTGAAAGCTGAGAGCTTACATCTTGAACTGCAAGCAGGAAGACAGCAAACTGGGAAAGGCATGAGACGTTGAAGCTTCAGAGCCCACCCCCAGTGATACAGTTCTTCCTTCCTCCCCAATAGTAGCACTAACTGGAGACAAAGTGTTCAAATGTTCAGGACTATGAAGGACATCTCATTTAAAATAACACAAAGGGGACAATTTATTTTGGTTTTTCTAGACCTGGCTGTCCTGGAACTGGCTCTGTAGACCAGACAGGCCTCAAACTCAGAGATCCGCCTGCCTCTGCCTCTGGAGTGCTGGGATTAAAAGCTTGTACCACCACTGCCTAGTAAAGAAAATTTATTTTGGCTCACAGTTTCAGAGCCTTTCTTTTTCCTTCCTTCCTTTCTTCCTTCCTTCCTTCCTTTCTATAGAAATATATTTATGTCTTTCTTTCTTTCTTTCTTTCTTTCTTTCTTTCTTTCTTTCTTTCTTTCTTTTGTTCTTCTCAGGTAGCTCACTATGTAGCTCTAGTAGTCCTGGAACTCACTATGTAGACAAGGCTAGCCTTAAAATTACGAGATTTCCCGGCCTCTGCCTTCAGAGTAATGGGATTAATGATGTGTGCTTCCATGACCAGCAGTTTCAGTTTTAGGCCATGGTCACTTGACCTTAAGCACTGGTCTGGCTCAAGCGTAGCACCCTATAGTTGGAACGGTTGGCAAAAGTGATCTGTTCACCTTATAGTGGCAGGAAAGAAAGACGGGAAAAAAAGCCCCAGAGTCCTAATATCCCTTTTGAGGACACACTTCCAGTGACCTAACTTCCTTTTTCTAGTCCATCCTTCTCAAATGTCTTATCTGCTCCAAGTAACCCCAGAACACTAGATGTTGGTGACCAAGTCTTTAGGACATGGGACTTTGAAGGACTGTTCAAATATAGCACTCTTGCCCCAGATTGAGCATCTGATGATGATTTCTGTCATCATTCACTGTAATCATGGTAAACACTAATCCTTGCACCCCATTTTTTACAGGACATTAGTATTTCTACGGACAGAGCCTGCCTTGCTGACCACCCGAATGTTTCTGAGGTGAAAGGGGAAGCTGTGGTTAGCAGTCTGATAGGATGTTTCAGGTAAGCATGTTAAAGACCAGCTTAGTAACCACTTGGGGAAAACTAGAAGTGAAGGGGAAATGGTATGTTGATGTTATTAAATGGAAACATCTTATTAGGGGCCCACCATGCAAATTGCCAGCAATACATCACAGACCATAAGTGGCCTGCTTGCTTTATCTCAGATCCGTTTTCTGTTTCTTAAACTTCGTTCACCCATTAGTGCCCTTATTAGAAACTTTCCTCAGGCAGCTATCTTTTCAGCTGGGGAAAGCTGCAACTGTAAACTGAATAGCTGTGTCTTCTTTATTTATGTGTTCATTGTATGTGTGGAGGGTATGCGTGCAGAGGTCAGAGGACAGCTTGTGGAAGTCAGCTCTTTCCTTCCTTCCTCCATGTGGGTTCTGAGGACTGAACTTGAGCCATGAGACATTTTGTTCACAGAGCCATTCCACCAGCCTCGCAGTTCTATCTGTGAGGTGATTCTCGCAGCTGCAGTCTTAACTGAGGCCTATGGAGACTAGGAAACAGTGGCTGGATTTTAAGGCAGTTTCTCCAACCAAGACTTGGGATATGAAATTCTCTTCCCTAAATGGGTATATCTGCTGCCAAGTGAATTGATTGTTCCAAAGATTACCACTGAAGAGTTAGAATTTGTTTTTTTAAACTTTCTGAGAACATTTATGACTCAAATGGCTAAAACGTTGTGACAGAGAAGGGAAAACCTGGAAAAAAATTCCCTTGGCCATGGTGTGTTAAAGTTTTCTATTTTACTTTTTTTCTAAGTTAAAATGTGTGTGTGTGTGTGTGTGTGTGTGTGTGTGTGTGTGTGTGTTCAGCTTGCTTATGGAAGCTGGGGACAATTTATTTTCTATCCATTCACTGTGTAGGTTTCAGGAATTTATCTCAGAGCATCAGATTTATAGGCAAGGACTATCACCTGCTAAGCCATCTCTGGCCCTGTGATGGACTTAAAAACTATCTTCAAACTTTGTGTGTGTGTGTGTGTGTGTGTGTGTGTGTGTGTGTATGTATGTATGTATATTTATTCCTTTAATTAGATGGATTTTTTTTGCCTTTCATGTATGTCTGTTCATCACGTATGTGCCTGGTTCTTGTGGAGGTGGTGCTGGGAATCAAACTCAGGTCCTCTGCAAGAGCAGTCAGTGCTCTTAACTACTGAGCCATCTCTCCAGCTCCCAAATTAGTTTTAGTTTACAGAGCATGGGTAGTAAAAGAAGAACCACCTTACAAAAGTCTTTGTAACAATGCATTGAGAAAAACCTTAAGAACGGGGATTAGAAAAACCAAGCAAGGCTCTGTAATTCATGAAAGTCAGTTATTTCAAAATGGAAGCGCCATAGAAGAGTCAGCATGGTTGGTTTAAAGATGAAGGAAGATGCTCATGAGGGAATGGTGGCACCCACAGAATTGGAGAAAGGTGGGATGCTCCATCTCACAAGTCATTTGTGAAGGGTTATTTTCATCACTTAACATAGGTGGGAAGACCCAGCCATGGTGGCAGGAATTCTAGACTACATAGGAAGGAGAATGTGTGCTGAGCATAAGCATTTGCCTTTCTCTGCATTTTGGCTGCCTGTAGCATGTGGCCATCTTCCTCTCTGTGACTTCTCTGCCATGACGGAGGCTGCATTGATTAGTTTTATGTCAGCTTGATACCAGCTAAACTAATTTGGGAAGCAGACCTCTCAACTGAGAAGATGCCTCTATGAGACTGGCCTACAGGCAAGTCTGGCCAGTGTTTTCTTGATTAGTGATTGATGTAAGAGGGACCAGCCCACTGTGGGTGGTGCTACTCCTAGGCAGGTGGTTCTGAGTATAAAAGAAAGTAGGCTAAGCAAGCCATGGAGAGCAAGTCAGGTGGCAGCATTCCTTCTTGACTTCTGCTTAAGTCCTGCTGTAGTAGGCAGGAGGAGTGGGCTCCCTTGTTCCAACCACCCGACTAGCTTAACCCACAAAATAACCACACAGAAATTGTATTAATTAAATTACTGCCTGGCCCATTATATCTAGCCTCTTCTTGGCCAACTCTCACATCCTGATCTAACCCATTTCTACCAACCTGTGTAACACCATGAGGTCATGGCTTACCAGGAAAGATTCTAACCAGCATCAGTCTCAGACAGGAGCTTCATGGCATCTGCCACACTGCCCTTCTTCCCAGAATTCTGTTCTGTCTTCCCCACCTACCTGAGTTCTACCCTATCAACTAGGCCCGGGAAGTTTCTTTAATAACCAATGAAAGCAACACAAATACAGAAGGACATCCTACACCATTTCCCCTTTTCTGTTTAAACAAAAAGGAAGGCTTTAACTTAGTAAAATTACAGGTATCAAGCAAGAATTACAATTACAATATTTAGATCTATTTTATCTTTTATCATAATAAAGGAAAACTATAACTATCTATCTATTCTTCAACTCCATCAAAGACTTCAGAAGGATATAATATTACCTAAGTAAACAAGAAGTAAGAAACTTCCAAAACTCTGGAATTGACAGAGACATCTCACTGCCTGTACAGTCACCCAAAGTTCTTCTGTACTGTTGGGGCATCTATCTTGGGCCTTCAGGCCCATAGTATCCAGCAGACATTTCCATGAAGCAGGAAAATTTAAAGACAGTTCAGTCACTTTCTTCTGTATTCTGCAGAATGTTTAGCAGACTCTTTCATGAAGCAGGAACCCTGAAGGATCATCTCACCTTTAGGCAAGTTCAGCAGACCTCTCTCTGCAGGTTCTTCATGTCCAGTTTATGCATCAGTCCAGTTTCTTGCCCAAATGGCTAACCAACTCCATAAGGAGCCTCTTGGATGCCCATCTTCCTCTTGAAGTAACTTGGTGCTGCCAGAAGCAGACGTTTCTCATTGTCATGAAAAGCCCTAAGTTATTAAAACATTTTAAATGCCATATTCTGTAGTCTTTGAAAGATATGAAGAATGCCTATCCAACTGAAATATATCTAGAATATCTAAGTAACATGACTACAAACTTGACTATTATAGAAGATTATCTCAATACCTTAATCAAGAGCAAAAATATACATATAACAAGATTGACCTTAAATTTATATCAACAAAGCAAAATCCATACCAATGCAAATTATTCATATCCATATCATCCTGCCTTCAGGTTCCTGCCACGAGTCCCTGCCCTGACTTCCGTCAGTGATGGAGTTTGACCTGAGAGCTATAAACTGAAAAAACTGTTTCCTCCCCAGGTAACTTTTGGTCATGGTGTGTTATCACAGCAGCAGGAACCTTGACAAAGACAAGGTTCTAACTAGAACTGTTAGCCAGAGTAAACCTTTAATCTATCAGGAAAAAAAAAAAAACAAATCAAAACAAGTACTGGAAATGTCCTCATGTTTTTAACACAAATAATTGATACATATCTGAAGTAACAGATACGCAAATTATCATGCTCTGATCATTGGACATCATATCCCTGAGTTGATATATTACACCGTATGCCACAAACATGTACAACTACTATATACCTAATTACAGCCCATATTTTCCTAAGTGTCCACCAAGAACAGTGTGTTCTTCTCAACAACGTTGTTGAAGTTATAGAAGGCCATCCAGGTTCTTAGAACACTGAGAACTAAGAGGCCTTCATGTCATTCCCATGAAAAATGTCCTTTAGTAGTAACTTATAGCATAATTGATTTTTCCCTGCCTACATAATTCAAAATAAAGAATAGAAAACATTTCATTTTGGGGGTATTTTGAAGTTCTTTAATATTTTTCTTCATTCTTGAGAATTTCATATAGGCATATGTTGAAATTATATCCATTCTTCATTTCCCCTCCAATTCTTCCCGTGCCTCCCCCATGTTAATGCGGTTCGTGTGTGTGTATGTGCATATATATATATATGTAAATATATATATATATACCCATATATAAATGCATGGGTGTGGCCCATCCACTGGAGGGGAACCTCCTGGTGTGCACATCCTCCAGAAAGAAGGATTGTCCCTTTCCCAGGAACTATCAGCCACTAACGGTTCCTCAGTAAGGGGTGAGCCTGGAGGTCACCTACCCCATCTGTCTGGGATTTCGTCTGATTTGATCAAGGCAGGCCTTGTGTGCTTTGAATTCATGTGTGCAATAGTTACGCCATGTCCGAAAGACAGTGTTTCATAGCACTTCTCCCTATCCTCTATCCACATCCTTTTCTGCAGTGTTCTCTGAGCCTTTGGAGGGGGCGAGGGAGAAGTGTTGCATGTACTAGGGAACCACTCTGCTGCTGAGTCACACCCGAGTTCTCTCATATCTTCGATTTTACTGTTGCCTGCATCATCGGCAGCAGCAGATACTGCTGAATCGTACATACTTAGGAAAGCAGGGCGGCAGGGTAGCTAACTGAGTGGGTAGATTCTTACTACACCTAGGCTCCTGGCATTTCAGCCATCCCTGACACCCGTGACCTTGAGGAATTTACTCAGCCTCCTCTCAGCTTGTTTTCATTAACAAATTGGGGGTCTTGGGGCAGGGAACGTCGATCCCTGGTAAAGTGTTCACCTTGTGTGAGTTAGGCCTTGGATTTGATCCCCAGCGCTGCAGGATTAAATAAATAAGTTGGGAGTCCTAATGATACCCTTGTTGTGAGGAGTAAACTCACTGACAAAATGCATGGAAAGCCCCGCACCGGTCTAAACGGGGGCTAGCACAGGGATGACGTCATGCTCAGGGATAGGCTGGAGCGCAGGAACCTCTCCCAGTTGTGGGTATGTAGAAGTCTTCTATTTGCACTTTGGTTATACATCTTATGTATTTAGTTAGCTTGATGTTGATGAAAATCCACATTTCTTTGAGGAAAGACTAGGAAATGCGTGACTTGTTTTTTTTTTTTCTCTTTGGATATAAGGGCTGTAGATCTACAGAGAGTTTAACTCAACCACGTTCACCCCGCCACCTCCTCCCTGTGTGTGGGCAGCTCTTTTGTACAGTTCTCTCTTTCTCAGTTGTGAGTTCTTTGATTAGAGTCTCTTGG